AAAAATTAGGAGAGCGGGCAGCAGGGCAATCCGACAAAAGAAAAAGGCCATACTTTTGGATTGGGTTTTCGAAACCAAAACTTGGGTGTCGTGTGCTCTTATGCGAGGGATTTTTATAGGAAAATATTTAGCTGAATTGACAATTCATTATTCAAATGATATTTCTCTATACTATAGTTTCTTCGATAATTTAAATATAATTTTGGTTACTTGAACATGCCACATCAGCATGGTAGTTCTTTTACGATGAGGTTTAATCTAATAATCAATTGACACGAGTAGTCATATATATTACACTCCTTTGTTAGATTTTTTATCTTTTCAAATGTGGAATTGTTAATAGTTTTCAATTTTTGTTCATTTTAGTTCATCTACTTGTTTGGGTACTTGTACTTTTAGAAAATTGACCATTAAGTCATTTCATTTTTTATTTTTAACTCGTTTTCTTAATCTCAATTTTATCAAGAATACTTCACTCCTTTGAATTCGTTGAAACCTAGTTATAAATGTATATTAAAAAGTTTTTATTGTTTGTTATTGAAATTTTGGAAATATGGAAAAAAAATTTCACTTTTTTTAAAGTACAAAACCTCCCTTAGAGAGTAAAAAACTTTAAAATATAAATATAATTTTGAAAATACATGATTAAAATGAATCAAAATAGTTATTTAAAAACCTAAAATTTGGATGGATTCATTTATCTATTAAATGCAATAGGAATAGATGTTTTTTTAATAAAATATTTAAGTGATGTTAAATTATAATAGATTTGAAATGAATTTCTTTATTAATTAACGCATGTGAGATTGTCGGATTTCACAGGATTTTAAAGGCAATGATAAAGGAAATTTCAGTTTTTTGTAATTTTTCAGTCACAAATCAGGATAAAAATGCTACATTTTAGTATGAATTATATGTAAATAATAAGAAGAAAGAAAGAAGCAGCCGCCCCTACGTTAGTAGAATAATAATACAAGTCCTTTTGTCTGTGATCCTTTAAAATAAATTTGATTTAAAATAAAATGTGGTTTCGAATCTTTTTTTTTTCTTGCTAGATTTCCTCGATTGGAATGATCGAATTTCACACTATTTTAAAAGTCGGTTACTAATTTAACATCCTCAAATTTACGTTTTTAATTAAAAAATTATGATGAAAAACCATATTAGTAAAATCCTTTATTTTCTTTTCATTTCCGGCGCTAGAAAATCCAAAGAAAATCATCTTAAAAAGTTACTCTAATTTTCAAATTATGTGATTTAAAATTATTTTCTTATATTTTGTTGACTCTAAATAGATGGTAAAATATTAGGGTAGAAATAGTTATAATATTATTATTTGGGTAGAACGTATAATTTTAGAATCTATGGTGTAGTGTTAGTTTCGATTATCTTACCTTCTTGTTCAGAGTGATGTTTATGTTCATACTAGTACTTGGCGAGATAGTGTTCAGTCTAGCAGCCAAACTTTGATGGAGTTTGGTTGGGCTAAATTTTTTTCTTCTTTTTATTGTTATTGTTTTGTTCTTTATTATAGGTCTTTTGATTATGTTGTGCATTGATCTCAAGGTGTAAGATCTATATTTTTTTCCTTGCAATATATACCTTTGAAAAAAGAAAAGTATAACATGCTAAAATCCAATACTATAAACAATGACGATAAACGAGTGGATATATCTTGGTACCAACACGAGTATATAATTTAACGGTTAAGACATATACTCCTTCTCTTAAAGTCGCATTTAATAAGACCTCACAAAGTAACAAGTAAATTTTTTCCGTACTTCTATTTACTAGGAAAATGTTCTTTTTTTAGTACAACAAATCGAGGTACAAAAATTTGAACCTTCAATTTCAAGGTAAAGAGTAGATGTTATTTACCGTTGAGTTATCCTCATCGCATAAGTTGTTGACCTATAAATGGTCGACTAAAATTGACGTGACTTGCATGTCTCGACCCTAAACTACGTAGGATTTTGTGAATATTTCAAATTTACCCATTTTCATGCTAACAATTCTCAACATCTTACTGTCTAAAAAAATTATGTTGGGTTTGTAAGGTGCTGTAAACAAAGTCCTACATTGATTAGGAAAGAGAATGATCACGGGTATATAAGAGAGGACAATTATCTCTAGTACGAGACATTTTGGGTGAAACAAAAAATAAAGCCGTGAGGACTATGTCCAAAACGGACAATATCATACCATTGTGGAGATACTTTGGATACTAAGGATACCGTTGTCCTTGACATCTTATTACTTGGTGGGTCTGATTGAGTTATGTGGAGATACTTTGGATACTAAGGATTACTTGGTGGGTCTTATTGAGTTATGTTAGCAAGGCTAACCAATCAAGCAAGGGTGGTGAGCTAAGTAGAGTCAAATTTTTGGATATGTACTAAAGAGTGACATTTAGGTTTGTTAGATGCAAAATCAAGGTGTTTGGTTCGCTAATGCAAAACTCAATTAGGTGAAAATGGTGAAAAGAGTTAACAATTCCACCATAGCCAAACTGCTAAAGCTCGAATATAGCGAGGAAGCTCGCTTCCAAATCTACCAACATAATTCCTCATTTCAGAAATTTCACCCCCAACATTGCATTCCGCTCGGTTATCAGTCATCTCTCGACCGAAGATGATGTTGAACTAACAATATCTGAAAATTTGTAAGGATTAAGCTTAGAAACGTGCTTGAATTTCAAATCTACGGTGTCCGCAGCTGAAGGAGGAATAATTTATAGCGCAAGCTGTACCACAACGACATCAGATTCGACCGAACTCGCCAAATTGCCAACCAGTCGCCACGACGATGCTGAGCAGGTATGGCCCAGCGGGACACGCCCACGAATTATATCTAAAATGAAAAATCTGATCGATATATGTCTCTACGTATTGCTGTGTGTATTAGTTTCTGGTGAATCTGTCCGTTTGTGGCTTAATTTAGAGAGAAAGAAGGTGGAGGTAATTTGACTGGTGACTATTTGGGAATATCTGACTCGGGAAAGTTGTATATCTACCATTTTTCTCAATATCTATATAATTGTTTTTTGGGGCATTTCTACAAACAGATCGCGCGCCAGGCTGGGTGTCTGATTACGACGGTGCTGTTGTTCTTCGTCAAAGAGGTTTTGGAGTTGGGGTTGGAGAGGGTGTGACGGAGGACGAGAGAGGATGAGTTTCAGGGACGACAGTGAAGATGGGAGGGACCTCAGGAAGCCATTTCTGCACACGGGGAGCTGGTATCGAATGGGTTCGAGGCAATCCAGTCTGATGGGCTCGTCCCAGGCAATTCGTGACAACTCCATCTCTGTAGTTGCCTGTGTTCTCATCGTTGCTTTGGGTCCTATCCAGTTTGGATTCACGGTAACTACCTGCTCTGTTTTTTCTCTCTGAAATCGTTGATTGTTTGTTTGGTGGCTAAGGAATTTGTTGATGAAATTCTTGTTTGATTGGAAAGATATTAGTTGGTTTTAGCTGAACCTTTGTAGTTACTGGGATTGAGTGTTTCGATGGAAGAAAGAACTAAAAGTACAGATAGAAAAGAGCATATCAGTTGCTACTGGTCCCGTTGATTAATTCTAAATTAGATTTCTGCTTGTTGGCAAACGCTAGAATTCGTTGCAAGTTGTTAATTATGTTGGGCAAGCATTCAGAATGAGTATTGACTTTGCAGGCAGGGTATTCATCGCCGACCCAATTTGCAATAACTCGGGATCTGGGACTTTCAGTCTCGGAGGTGTGTCTCTGTTGTCCGTCCTTTTCTTTCTTCAGTCTACATTTGTTAACTACATTCGTGTGTGATCTGATTTGTGAAACAGTATTCTTTATTTGGCTCTTTAAGCAATGTTGGTGCTATGGTTGGGGCTATAACCAGTGGCCAGATGGCTGAGTATATTGGGCGAAAAGGGGTAACGGTTCATTGATTCTTGCATCAATTCATCTTGCTCAAGGTTTTCTTCTGTTCGGACGACTAAATCTTACTTTGATGTGGTTAATTCCAGGCCTTAATGATTGCTGCAATTCCCAATATTATAGGGTGGCTTGCTATATCATTTGCAAAAGTTAGTTTGAAAGATATCCATTTTACGCCAAGCTCTCCTCCATATGCAGAATGGCAGTATATAACCAATTTTAATTATTCATGTAGGATTCTTCTTTCCTCTACATGGGGAGGTTGCTGGAAGGGTTTGGTGTTGGAATAATCTCTTATACGGTGTGACTCTAATTTCAGCTTGGTTGCCAGGATTGTGTAATTTTACTAAAGGGACTCTAACTCTTTTCTTCTAGGTCCCGGTCTATATAGCTGAGATATCACCCCAAAACCTTAGAGGAAGTCTTGGTTCAGTCAATCAGGTTGGATACATTTAGTATTTGTAACATGAATTGGTCTTGCAATTATGTATCTTTTTAATTCTAATCACCTCACAACTTAGTTACTTCACTTTTTGTGGTGTAGCTGTCAGTTACCTTAGGAATAATGCTGGCTTATCTACTGGGACTATTTGTACCATGGAGAATACTTGCAGTTTTAGGTAAATTATCTAGAAGGATTTATGTTAGTGTTCACTATCGGTTGTTAATCAATGATATCTCTGAGTCTCTTTGACAGATAGATGAAACAACGCCCTAAAAGTTGTGCTTGTAAATAATCAAGGGTTAAAAAGGTTATGTATTATTGTAATTGTGCAATGTTGACGTGTTTGACTATTCTCAAGTGCGTTTTGCGCTAGACTTGCTACAGCAGAGAAGATTGTTTTATAAAAGTACTCTCTTTTTATATGAAAAGGGTGTGAAGAGATCACTATTGGTATTGATACCAAGCTCCAGAAGTTGAAAATATGAGCATAATATTTTGCTTTGTGCATGCTTGATCCTTTCCATATTTAGTCCTCTCTAACATTAGAAATAACAAATTTGAATTGACTAATCATCACCACCCTCTTCTTTTGCAGGAATTTTGCCTTGTACAATATTGATACCTGGATTGTTTTTCATCCCGGAATCACCAAGATGGCTTGTAAAAATCTTGAAATCAATGTCTTCAATTTTATAAAGCTAAACTTTAATTCTTTCAGTTTTTCTGAAATAGTTTTTCATCAACCTTTAGGCAAAGATGGGCATGACAGAAGAATTTGAAACATCTTTACAAGTTCTTCGAGGGTTTGATACTGATATTTCCATTGAAGTAAATGAAATCAAGGTGCATGTACATAATAATTCAATGAATTGGTTTTTCCTCAACTGTCAGCTACTAGTCCGGTTTCTTCATGAAGAACCATGGAAAGTACACCAGTCTGTAACTATGTCACCCCATCAATTCAAGTAACTGTTGCCACCTTACATAATGCAGAGATCTGTAGCATCCACCAACAGAAGAACAACTATTAGATTTGCAGATCTGAAGCAGAAGAGATACTGGCTCCCTTTGTCGGTACTGGCTGGAATTTTTTAAAATACTGAATATATATATGTATATATATATGTATACATACATACATACATACATATATCATATTAAGCCTAGAATCCAGGAACTTATTTTTTCAGCTCTCTCACGTTATGCAGATTGGTATAGGATTACTTATTCTGCAGCAACTAAGTGGAATTAATGGTGTCTTATTCTATTCAAGCACCATCTTCGCATCTGCTGGTAAGTAAGTAAATATATCTGGCCTGCATTGGATATTTCTTTCTAAGTGGTGTAAGGTATATTGCTAGAGGCTTCTTGTGGATTGAGTGATAGATTTCCAATCGAACAATCTAGTCATGGTCCTAATTAGTCCACCGCTTATAATTGTAGGTGTACAAGCTGCCCCTGTTTGTTCTATTTACTATTGTAATAATTATGGTTATTTTCAATATGATAGGCACCATAACTGAGATTGAAAAATCAAGAAAAATAGGAGAGAAAATATATTTTACTACCAAAAAAAATTAGAGGATACTTAACATTCAAGAGGTTTAGTTCTCTCCCAAAACTATTCTTGAAATCTGTTTGCCTATTAGAACCCTGCAACCTACTCTATATTTATGACCATTCTATTAACAACCCCTTTAACTAATGTCAAGTATGTCTTCCTAATATCCTTATAATATTCCTAATATTGTCCTACTAATATCAAATGACTCTTCTTATTTTAAAATAGGTATTACCTCCAGTAATGCGGCTACATGTGGCCTTGGCGCTGTTCAGGTACAATTTACTAATGCTATTCTCAGTGATTGATTTTCCCCATCTGAACTCGGCTTTTCACCAGTTGCTTTTTTTTAGGTTGTTGCCACTGCAGTTACAACATGGTTGATTGACAGAGCTGGGCGTCGTCTTCTTCTTATTGTGAGTTTCATGTTATTATGCTTACTTTTTTTAATGTCTTCTTCTTTGTTAATTATCTTATAATTTTTCATTTCAGATCTCCTCTGCTGGAATGACAATTAGCCTGCTGATTGTTGCCGTGGCATTCTTTGTGAAGGTAAA